GCTGCCTCCTGGAGAAGGGTACCCAACCAACCCAGCCAGGCGGTGTTATACCAGGGATCGGCAGCCTCTTCGGCCCTGTGTGCCACCAGTGGGGTGAAACAAAGCCCGCGGGGACCACTGGCAGGCCTAAGACATAGATAGGAGAGAGGAGGAGGGAATGGGAGGGCAGGAGAGACAGGGAAGAGGGAGAGAGAGAAGAGAGAGAGAGAGAGAGAAAAGCAAGAGGTATTGTATACGGTGGGAAAGCCGCCACGACTGCTAGAGGCCATCTGCCGACCACCTCTGAGATGCTCCAACCTCCCTCTGCCACCACGTCCATGCTGGCCGCCTCTGATCTTCTCTAGGACCACACCCACCATGCGCCTGGCCTGGGCTGGGCAGCACGGCCACAGAAAGGAGTGGCACGCCATCCCTGGCACAGCACTTTCCTTAGTGGTGAAGGAACTACGGGGCTGCTGGTGTATCAGGCAGCCCACCCTCTGCAACCCTGTCGGTGGGCACGGCTGACCATCCCTAAGACTCGAGAGGCACTGCTCTAACGATGGCCTTTGGAGTCCTCCAAGAGAGGAGTCTTCAATCCAGTCTGTGTGGGTGTCGACTGATTTGTACCAAATTCTAACTATTTGAAAAACCATTTCATCCCTAAGAGGGGAAACGTTTTCCCCACCTACTTTTATTAAACAAAGCATTTAATTCACCAGAACAGTCACCTCCCAGCTCTGCCAGATGCCATGTCTACTGTGCTCCCAAGGCCCTAACAGAGCCCCAGGGTGGGAGTCAGGAGACCTGGTTCTCGTCCCACCTCCATCTAAACTCACCTTGTGACTTGGACAAGTCACTTCCCCTCTCTGGACCTCAGTTTCCCTATCTGCAAAATAGGGGGAGGAACTAGTTTGGGACTACTTTGTCTCTAAGGGCTCTTCCAAGCTGACTGTCTAGGAGTCTATCAAGTGTGTCTGTGCCACCCTAACATGACTTGGGGGTGTCGGGGGGGGCCTAACTGTTGGCGACACTCCCTCTCATATTATCTTTATAAATGCTCCGTTCTCCCTCCCTGCCCCCCACCCCTCTCCCATTCTCTGCCTATTGGCCCCCTTTTGCGACCTCCTCCTTTCCAGTTTCTCTTTTGCCTCGCCCAGAAGCCACACCCAGAAGCCCTGCTCAGCCCCTCCAGGCCATTCTGGACTGGAAAGGTCTCTGGCCCTTGGCATGACACAGAACCATCTGTAGAAGCTTCCTTGAGAAGTTCCACATCTCTCGAGCAGGCAAGATAAGTGCAAAGGGGGTCTGTGGGCTGCGGGCCAAGGGAAGCTACAATGCCAGTGCTGAGAACCCAGCTCACCCGGGTGCCGCCTCCTTGCCCCCACCCCGTGCCCAGACACAGACACACATACAGTGAGAAGCGTCAAGGGTGGGCCTCAGATGGCTCATCTCAGATGATTCAAGGAATCAGGATTTCAGAGATGAGAGAGGTTTAAAGGTCATGTGAAGCAGGAGTTCCCAGCCTGGGGCTTTGGGGGCCTGTAAGACCTTTAAAAGCTGTAATGGGTCCATATGCTTCTTTTCAATACCTCAAAAAGCCTACCAGAAACTATTTATCCTTAAGTAGGGGGCAAGGATTTAACTGAGATGCCTAGGTTTTTTACTTTTTTTTCTGTAATTCTAACGACTACTTTGGATAAGCCACAGACAACCTCTCGTTGTTGAAAAAGCTCTGGTTGGCAACTCTGAATATCTCTGATTATTAGACTTTCTCTAAGTGGTCGAGGGCTTTGGATACTTGTGATTTGGGGGGGGGGGTAGGGGAATAACAAAAGCGGGGTTTTGTCAGTAACGCGATCTCATCCAAGGTTTTCATTTAACGGAGAAGATAACCAGAGCTCAGAGAGGTCAAGGCACTTGCCCAAGATCCCACAGCAAGTCAGAGGCAGAACTTGGGAATTCCCAAGCTAGGACATCACTACAGGGGAAGCAGGGGTCAGCGTTCATTAAACAGGGACAGGATAGATGCATACAGATTTCACTTTAAACTCCTCCTATACTTTGGAACCTGTACTTCACAGGGCTAGGATAGCCAGTCCTGGCATTACCCCCATTTGCCAGATTAGACAACTGAGGCACAAAGAGATCTGTGTAACGTGCCCGAGGTCACACAGGTATCTAGGACTAGAATCCAGGTCTCCTGAATCTTAAGTCAGTGGTCCTCCCTCTATATCAAAACAAGATGGCAGAATAAGACTAGAGCAGCCGCTTGACCCTGCCCCTCCTGCCTGAGGACCTCCAGCCCCACTGCCCCATGGTCCAGCCAGGATGACCTACCATAGCCTGGCTGGCCTCTGAGTCAGCAGAGCTGGCCTGTGCCTGGAGCTGCTTACCTGTGTGCTGGAGGGCCCCACGGCACGTCGGGGCACCTTGATGTCAAATCCACCTTTGGGGTCCTTCTCCCCTCTCAAGCACGGGTCATTGGGGGGCTCTCGGCCTCCCTCCCAGTCACAGATGGTTTTCCGAATTGCCTGTAGGACACTGGGGAAGGAAGAACCTGGATTCAGACCAGCTGGAAAGAGGCACTGCAAGCCTGTTTCTAGAGGCCATGGTGTTCCAGGACCACGTGCCTTAGAACTCCTGGCATGCTTGTGAAACATGCTCACTCCACGGCCCCATCCCCAGGGATGCTGGCTCAACAGCTTTGAGGTGCAGGCCAGAAGTCTTCATTTTACAAGTGCCCCGGTGATTCTGATGCCCACTGGCTGTCTGAGAACGCAGCTCTGAGGCCACACAGTGGGAGAGAACCTGAGTGAAGGATGGCTAGTTTTCTTTTTGCTTTTAGGACAGTTTCATTAGTCCATTTAAATCTCTGTATATTTAAAACTTGAATAATAGCTTATATGTGTTGCACATTTACTCCATGCTGCTGTGTGCTTAGGTCTATACACGGATTATCTCATTTCATCATCCCAACAGCCTAGGGAGTAAGTACCATCATCATCCACAGTTCACAAATGAGGGAAACTGAGGTGTAGAGAAGGTAAGTAACATGACTAAGTTCACACAGCTAGACAGTGGTGGATGTGGGCTCCAAACCCAGAGATGGAGGCTTAATTCATCCCAAATGTCCAGTCTCTTAAAAGGGCCTCACAGGACTTGCTGGAAGTCACTGGAAGGTCCGTTTCTGTTCAGACACTTCCCTGGAAGCTGACTGACCTGGGAACGCCCTCTGTGGCCTGCACCCAGCACCCCCGATTTTGGATGTGCCCCCTGAAAAAGGCCGTCTGAAGACCCACCTGATGAGGACATTCTTCTTCTTGCGCACTGCCTGCCTGAGGGGTTCACGCAGGGTCACCTGGGCAAAGTCCTGCAGGGCTGCGTAGATGGTGTTCCTGATGGCCTGGTTGAAGACGCTCTCCATCCTGCCCATGAGCACCTGCAGGCCTTTGATCATGGCGATCACCTGGCCAGGCACAGATCGAGGTCAGGCTCACTGTGCCTTGGCATACCCGTCCGTCCGGTACCCTCACCACATCTCCGGGGGGTTGCTGGAGGAGACATCCTGAAGCACGAGGCCAGCGAGTGCTACTCAAGAGTGTCAGTTCACGGCTGGGTGGAAACGTGTGCCAGAAGAGAAATCAGCACTCCACTTCCCTTATCAAGGAAGTGCTGCTACAAAGCAAAGATGTCAGCCACACGCTGTGCGTGTGCTTCACCATCAGCTGATTTTCATTCTGGCACCAGCCCCCCATCTTGCCGCTGACTGGTGACAACTGGCAGCTGGTCCATGGACCATGTTTTGAGTAGCACTCTGACTTTGAGAGGTCTCTCCACATCCCATGTACCCACAGACAATATCAAATAGAACTTCTTTCTATAGAATTTTTACAATCTTTGCTTCTGAAGTGATTTGGCCAATTGCTGCTTGAGTCCATAAAATAGGATTCCTATAGAAGTCTTGTGGGGAAAGGCTTCTGCCCTTCTATTTACCTCCTCCTTAGCCCCTTAACTCACTTATCTGCCTGCAGAGGTGGGGTGATAGGTGACTAGGATGCCTGTAGCGTCACTTTGACCTTGGCGCTCACTTGGGATCTGTCTGCCTGTGGGGTGTGTCCTCTCCTCTGGGTGCCTGTCTTGTCCTTGCGGTAATCACCCCTCCTCATTCCGAAGATGGGAGGTGTATATTTATGCAGCTGCTTTGCCTGTTTCCCAGTGGGAAGTTTCATGGGATGGGGGAGGAATAGGAAGCCTGGTGTGGCCTCGAGTGAAATCACATTCTCTGGTCCAGCTTTACCAAACCTGATCCTTTGGCCCCCGTCAGCCTCAAGTGCTAACTTCTAGATTAGCTCAGAATTCAGAGGGGAGGGAGATCAGCTCGGTGTTTTGTGACCACCTAGAGGGGTGGGATAGGGAGGGTGGGAGGGAGACGTAAGAGGGAGGAGATATGGGGATATAAGTATATGTATAGCTGATTCACTTTGTTATAAAGCAGAAACTAACGCACCATCGTAAAGCAATTATGGTCCAATAAAGATGTTAAAAAAAAAAAAAGAATTCAGAGGGGAAAGCCTTGTCAAATCAGCCTCCTGACAGCTGCCACACTTGTCACACCCCTCATGACATGGTCGATTTCCTCCCTCTGCACCAGACTGTAAGCACTGCAGGGGTGAGGCTTGGCATGCTGTGTAAGCTTCATCCCTGGGGCCTGGGGTCCTGGTGGGCCCTCAAGAGATTTTTCTTGAAAAGCAATGAGTAAATGAATGAATGAGCTTAGATGCTAAGCCTTTATGTTCCTCCAAACTGTAAATGAAGAAATAGAACATTCGAGGCAGGAGAAATAGTGAGAATAGTTCAGAAGGTAAGAATTTTCACTAGAACCGACAGTCTAATGGTTTTGCTGAAGAGAACCTTTATAGTGCAGAAATAATGAGAGAGAAGCTCTAAAGGAATGTTAATTCATAAAAGAATCTGGGCTCCTGGCTGGCAATGAAACCAGGAAATAAGGGACAAAGGAAGGACAAAATAATGAAGATTTTTCAGAATAACTCCAAACACAGAAGAGTATGCAGATCTGTTAGACCTAAGGGAAAATCTTTGCAACTTTGGGCTAGGCAGAGATTTCTTAGCTAGAACACAAAAAATCACAAACCACAGAATAATAAGTAAGTTGAACTTCCTCAAAATTAAAAACAGGTGCTCTTTAGAAGGCACCCCGCCCCCGCCCCAAGAAAATGAAAAGACAAAGTTACCGACTAGAAAAAATATTGGCAACATATTTGTGAATAAGGACTTGTATCTAGAATATATAAAGATTCTCACAATTTAATAGTAAGAAGATGGAAAGCTAATTGTAAAAAATGGGCAAAAGATTTCAATAGACAACACTTCACAAAGGAAGATGTATGAATAGCCGATAAGCACATGAAAAGATGCTCAATATCATTAATCTTCAGGGAAATGCAAATTGAAACCTCAGCGAGATGTACTAAATATCCATTAGAATGGCTAAGATTAATAAGACTGACAGGACAAGAACTGTGAGGGTGTGTGCAACAGAACCCTCATATATAACTGGTGGGAATATAAAATGGTACACCCGCTTTGGAAAACTGTTTGGCAGTTTCTTAAAAAGTTAAACATACACCTCCAATATGACCATTCCAAGAGAAATAAAAACCTATGTCTACACAAACACTTATACTCAAATATTTAAAGCAACTTTGCTTACATTGGCCAAAAGCTGGAAATGGCCCAATGTTTATCAACAATTGGATACACAAATTGTAGAAGAGCCACACAATGGAAAAATACTCAGCAATGAAACGAAACAAACTATTGATACAAAAAACAATGTGGATGAATCTCAAAATTATTACGCTGAGTGAAAAAGCCACACACACAAAATACATACTATATGATTACACTTAAATAAAATTCTAGAAAATGAAAACAAATCTATGGTGACAAAAAATGTGACTGTTTAGGGCCAAGGATGGAGGGAAGGATGGATTGCAAATGGCATAAGAAGTCTTAAAGGGAGATGAAAATGTTCTGCATCTTGTGTTTTTGGTTTCACAGGTGCATATACAACTGTCAAAACTTTGTGAATTATACACTTTAAATGGATGCAGCTTACCAAATGTAAATTATACCTTAGTAAAGCTCATTGAAAAAAACAATAATACTCTCGTGGAGATAGCACATTCACGACACAAGAGTTAGGTGAGATTAAAAAAAAAGAAACATTCAGAGAACAAGATGGAGCTTTTGGACATTTAAAATATTATAGGCAAAATAAAAAATACTAACAGAGTTGAAAACTGAAATTAAGGAAATTTCCCATAAAGCAGAACAAAAATAAGTGATATGCAATAAGACAGAAAAGATAGGAAAATTAGACACTAACTCCTGGGCATCTAACATCTGATAGATAGAAAACCCAGAAAGACAGAACAGAGAAAACAGAGAGGAGGAAATTATCAAAATTAAAATTCAAGAAAATTTCCCAGACCTACGGAACTTGTATTTCCACACTGCAGTGGCCTATTTAGTGTCCCAAACAATGAATGCAAAAGGCCCTTATCATGATGCCTTACAGTGAAACTTCAGAAATACTGTGATAAAGAGATGAGACTATAAGATTCTACAGATGAAAACGAAAGAATAAAGTTAGACTCACATTTCCAAATTTCAAAACTTACTACAGAGTTAACAGTAATCAAAATGGTATGGTATTGGCATATAGAAAGACATATAGATCAATGAAAGAGATCTGAAAGCCCAGAAATAAACCCTTACATTTATAATCAATTGATTTTTGACAAGAGTACCAAGACAATTCAATGGAGAAAGAATACTCTTTCCAACAACTGGTGCTGGGACAACTGGACATCCGCATGCAAAAGAATGAAGTTGGAACCCTACTCACACCATATACAAAAATTAACTCAAAATGACCAAAGACCTAAATGTAAGAATTGAAACTATAAAAATCTCAGAAGAAAACATAGGAGTAAATCTTTAAGAACTTGGATTAGGCAATGGTTTCTTAGATATGACACCAAAAGCACAAGTGACAAAAGAAAAAATAAACTGAACTTCATCAAAATTGAAAACTTTTGTGCTTCAAAGGATACCATATAGAAAGTAAAAAGACAATCGATGGAATGGAGGAAAAGTTTTTCAAATTGTATGTCTGATAAGGGACTTGTATCCAGAATATATAAAAACTCTTTCGTTTGGTGTTTGAATGTTGATATATTTTAAAATATACCAGTTCTGGAAAACAAGATGCATGATAAAATTTTTTCCTCTTTTTCATTTTGGCTCATAAATTTGGCTGCATTTTAGAAAACAGTCCCTGTTTTCCTGGTAACCATGGCAAATTAATTAGCTTTTTCTGATACAGAATATATAAAAACTCTTACACTTCAAAAATAAAAAGACAAATAACCTAAAATAAAAGGGGCCAAGAATCTGAACAGACATTTCTCCAAAGAAGCTATGCAGACGGCCAATAAGCACATGAAAAGGTGCTCAATATCATTGGTCATTAGGGATATGCAAGTCAAGACCACCCTGAGAAACTACTTCACAACTAGGATGGCTGAAATAAAAAAGACCACAGGTGATGTCAAGGATATGAAGAAATTGCAACTCTCGCACACTGCTGGTGAAAATGTAAAACGGTGCAGCTGCTTTGGAAAACAGTTTTACAGTTCCTCAAATTTTTAAACGTAGAGTTACCACGTGACCCAGTAATTCTGCTTCTAGGTATATACTCAAGAGAATGAAACATATTTCCACACAAACACTTGTACACGAATGTACATATCAGCATATTCATGACAGCCAAAAAGTTGAAACAACCCAAATTTGTGAATATATAAACAAATGATATATTCATACAATGGAATATTATTCAATCATAAAGGAACGAAGTACTGATATATACTAGAACATGGATGAACCCTGAAAACATCATGCTAAGTGAAAGAAGCAAGTCACAAAGGATCACATATTATATGGCTCAATTTAAATATAATCTCCAGAAGAGGCAAAACTATGCAGACAGAAAGTAGATTAGTGGTTGCCAGGGGCTGGTGGGGAAAGGGATGAACGGCAAATGACCACTAACGGGTATGGGTTTTTGTGGGGGGATAACAAAAATGTTATAAAATTAGGCAGTGGTAATGGTTTCACAGCTCTGAATATACTAAAAATAAGTGTACACTTTAAAGGGTGAATTTTTATATATATATCTCAATAAAGCGATTATTAAAAAATTATACAGAGGAAAAAAATAACAAGGAAACAGGGATTAGACTAGAATCCAACTTTTCAGCAGCAACACTAAAAGCTAGAAAACAATGGAATAATACCTTCAAAATTCTGGGAAAAAATTATTTACAATTTAAAATTCTCTAGCCACTCATTATGAGTGAATTTAGAAGTAAAACATTTTCAGATATTCAAGATGTCAGAAATATTTTCCCCCATAATCCCTTTCTTAGAAAGCTTTGGAGGATATACTCTACCAATATAAAGAGAGAGTCAGCCCTGGGGTTCAATACAGGAGAGGGACAAAGGGAATCCCAGGGTAATGATGATGAGATATCTCAGATCAGTAACTGAACAACAGATTTAGAGACAAATCAGTTCAGATTGGAGAGAAGGAAAAGGGGCTTCAGTGGGAATGGCTCCAAGAAAAAAAAGAGTAATAAAATTCATAAAATAATGATTGTGATTAGCTCTTTTGTAGGAAGTTTTACATTGGTATGTTTGAGGGCTCCTTTTTGATTGGATCATAGAAAACTTATCAAACAAAAAGGCAAAAGCTGTGCCAGAAAAGAGATGTATTCATATTAGACCTCATGACTCAGCAACGAACAGTTACTCAGTTATAGTAATACAGAGCAACTATTAATTTAACCAGAAAGTGTTAAATTGCCACTTTGGGAAGATGGGAGAAAGGAATTGGGTGTATTGGGGGTGGGAATGGGAGGTAGAGATGAAAGAACTAAACTGTTTTCTCCCAAAGTAGGAAATCAATAGAAAATGCCATAAATTGAAAAACCAGGGAACAGCCCCATCAGGCTGTTAGTGGAAGTACACAGATAAATACCAGAAGAAATAGCTTGACGAGGTGAAAAGATGTTTCCTATTTTGGGATTCAGGGAGGAGTGAGGTGGTGTAGGTTACTATAATATTTTTTGCCTTGTTTTAGTGTTGTTTAATGCCACGTAAAATTACTTTTCTTTCTTTCTTTAAAATTAAATTAAATTAATTAATTTTTATACAGCAGGTTCTTATTACTTATCTATTTTATACATATTAGTGTGTATATGTCAATCCCAATCTCCCAATTCATCCCACCACCACCACCGCCCCCCCAGAATTACTTTTCTTAAATTTATTTTTACATGGTTTACTAACAAAAAAAAAATTATAAAACCTCTCAATGTAAAGTAAGGACTAGAAGGAAATACAGAAAATGCCACTGGTGGCTGTGGTTGGATGATTTTCTGAGACTGTGGGAAGGTGAGTGTAGGAGTGGGGTTGAGAGGAGCATTTTCTAAACTACCTATGGTGCCTACACATTGCTTTTATTAAGGAAAGAAAGGTATAAACAGTTTTACAAAGTTGTATGTCCTCTTTGACTGAAAGTCTCATTTTATATAAATAGGCTTGAGGAGGACTTTCTTGCCCAGTGATGACTGGGTAACTGTCTTGCAGGCTGACTATTTGCAATGGAAGTGCCAGGAGGTCAGGACCACTCAGCTCAATGCCAAGTGTGATTACAATCTGTCTGGGGAGAGAGGAGAGACCCACACGACCATCAGCGGGTGAACACATCAACCAAATGGGTTGAGTCCACGCAACGGACTATCACTCAGTCATAAAAGGCAATGCAGGCTTCCCCGGTGGCGCAGTGGTTGGGAGTCCGCCTGCCGATGCAGGGGACGCAGGTTCGTGCCCCAGTCTGGGAAGATCCCACATGCCGCAGAGCGGCTAAGCCCGTGAGCCATGGCCGCTGAGCCTGCGCGTCCGGAGCCTGTGCTCCGCAACGGGAGAGGTCAGGACAGTGAGAGGCCCGCGTACCGGGAAAAAAAAAAAAAAAAAAAAAAAAAAAAAAAAAAAAAGGGAATGCAGTACTGATTTGTGCTACAATGGAGGGACCTTGAAAACATGAGGTAAAAGAAGCCAGACACAAAAACCACATATGATACGATTCTACTTATAGGAAACAGCCAAAATAGGGAACTCCACAGAAACAGAAGGAGACTGCTTAGGGCTGCAGGGATAGGGAATAGGGGGTGAATGTACCGGTTTCTTTTTGAGGTGATGAAAATGTTCTAAATTTGACTGCAGCTGCCCAGCACTGGCAATATACTAAAAATTAATGAATTTACATTTTAAACTCGTGGTACTCCTCATCCGACTTCTGGCTGTGCAGCCTGGAGCCCGTCACCACCTGGGGAACATCAGCTGTCACCCTCACTGTCGATGCACCTGGCACTTTTCTACCTTATTTCACTGATTCCCCCAAGAACACTGCAAGGGAGGTGCTATTATTATACCGCTTGACAGATAAACCGAGGCTCAGACAAGTGCCTTCCTAAATGCCACATGCCTTGTAATTGATTGAGGGTTCAAATTCAGGTGGTGTGACGCCAGAGGCCCACTCACAACGACCCTGGTTGACTGCAGCACAGCAGCTTTCAGACTTTTGGGTCTGTGATTTACAGTAGGAATTGTATACTATCTACTAACTCAGGAACACATACCTGCCTGAAATGACCCCACTGAGCCTCAGTTCTTTAAAGTATAGCCTGGAGATCAGCTAAAGAGCAACTCTAACCCCTAATGTGTATGACACTTTATAGCCTTCACTGCTCATCTACATCATTATCTCTGGTAATTACTCTTTGATTTTCAACAATAATGCTGGGATGCAAGTGGGTAAAGATAATCAGCTCCATCTTATAGACAAAGAGGCTGAGGCTCAGAGAGATGAAGGGTCCAGGGGTAGCATCCAAGTCTCTGACTTCTAGGCTTCAGAGAGTCATGAAAGAGGAAGCTGTCACTCATAACCCAGCAAGAATGAGCTCCGTCACCCTCACAGACATATCTTTTTGTAATCAGACAAACAAAAAAACCAAATCAGAAGGTTATAAAGCAGGAAGTAGAATCCTCCCTTTATAAATTACTACTGCCAATGGTTTGGTATATATAAACATATACACTTATGTCCTTCCATTTTGAGCAAATGTGCAAAATTATATTAATTTTGGTAGAAATGGCATCAATTTACATGCCGCCCTTTAACCTGTTTCTTTTTTAACTTAACAATATACTGTGTATATCTTTTCATGTCAGTACATCCATTTTAGTGGCTGCATAGTATTCAATGATATAGCTGTACCTTTATTTATTTTACCTGGTCCATATTGAAGGACATTTCAGTTGTTTCACATATTTTGGCATTATAAACAATACGGCAATAAATGTCTGTTACATATGTCACGGCACAGTTGGCTTATTTCCCTGAGATATATACGTGCCAAACGGTATGCCCGTTAAAAATCTGAATACAGATGATCAGAATGCCCTCAGAGAAAGCCTGTAAAATGTGGATTGGCCACTCAAAGTATCTGAGAAGGTCTGAATCCCACTTCAACCAGCCACAGACATCACCAATCTACTAGATCTTTACTATCCTGACTGGTCAGCATTCTATCTCATTTTAGTTTCGATCTGAAGTTCTCCAACCATTCCTCAGTCTGGGCATTTGTTATATCTCTTTTGGCCGCATGTTTGGTCCCTGCTGTTTGGTCTAATGGAGTGTCTCTTTCTTTGGGATTCTAAGAACAGAATGCGTTTCTCACTGCTTCTGAAAGAACAACTTGGGGCAGAGATGAATTCGGGTGGGAGGAGGGGGCAGGGAAGTGCATGCACAGGAGGCCCATGGCTGCCGCCCGGCCCAGCACCCCTCCAGGAAGCCCTATGGCTGCTGACACTGAGCAGCCTCGGGGGTTGGGGGCGAGGAGACGCAGGGAGTCAGCACCCACCTCGACAAAGGCAAACTTCTCCTCACTGGTGTAGTTGTAGCGGGTGGCTCGCTCATACTCCTCGGCCGTGCCCGGGCAGTCCTTGTTGCAGAACTTGTCCGTGGGGTGAACAAGCTTCCAGGAGTACTGGGGAGACAGGAGAGACCCACGTATCCATCAGCGGGTGAATGCATCAACCAAACGGGGTGAGTCCACCCAACGGACTATCACTCAGTCATAAAAGGCAATGCAGTACTGATCTGTGCTACAATGGAGGGACCTTGAACATGTGAAGTAAAAGAAGCCAGACACAAATAACCACATATGATACGATTCTACTCATAGGAAACAGCCAAAATAGGGAACTCCACAGAGACAGAAGGAGACTGCTTAGGGCTGCAGGGATAGGGAATAGGGGGTGATTGTACCGGGTTCTTCTTGAGGTGATGAAAATGTTCTAAATTTGACTGCGGCTGCCCAGCACTGGCAATATATTAAAAATTAACAAGTTTACATTTTAAATGGGTGAATGGTGTGGTGTGTGAATTGTATCTTGATAAAGCTGTTTAAAAAATAGAATGCCAGAGAGAGGCAGGGGCAGACAGATTCCAAGTGAACAGAGTTCAGGATGGAGGGGGCCGGGAAGGGGCAGACTCTCTGCCCTGGGACACCTACCACCTCCATGACGTGGGCGCTCCACTTGGACAAGAGCTGCAGGCCCCGCAGGGCCAGATCAAAGAGTTCGCGGTACTCCTCGTCCGACTTCTGGCTGTCCAGCCCGGAGCCCGTCACCACCTGGGGAACATCAGCTGTCACCCTCACCGTCGACGCACCTGGCACTTTTCTACCTTATTTCACTGATTCCCTCAAGAACACTGCAAGGGAGGTGCTATTATTATACCGCTTGACAGATAAACTGAGGCTCAGACAAATGCCTTGCTAAAGGCCACATGCCTTGTAATTGACTGAGGGTTCAAATTCAGGTGGTGTGACACCAGAGGCCCACTCACAACGACCCTGGTTGACTGCAGCGCAGCAGCTTTCAGACTTTTGGGTCTGCGATTTACAGTAGGAAGTGCATACTGTATACTAACTCAGGAACACGTACCTACTTAGAGGTATTCAATATAGGCATGAACAGTTTTCACGAAGCAACTTTATGCTCAATACTTGAGATTTCCTCTGATTTTTTATTCCATTTCATAACAAAACGCTAATTAGAAACCACTAAATTGATTTCACAACTCAATTAGAAATGACTCACGGACTGAAAAGCACTGGTGAAGATAAACATCTATTTGAACATGTAATATTCCACTATGAAATACTATATGTGTGTATACTGTGCATATGCATAGATTATATATGTGTATGTGTATGTGTATGTATATATACATATAGAGCCAGTCCTCATTATTTGTGGATTCTGTATTTGTGAATTTCCCTATTCACTAAAATTTATTTGTAACCGCAAGATCAATCCTTGCAGTGCTTTCATGGTCAGTTTCAGACGTGTGCAGAGTGGGAAAAAATCTGAGTCATGTTCCCAGCTGAGGCTGAACAAGGCAACTCTTTGCTCTCTTGTTTCGGCTCCTACTGTACACAAGTGTCCCATTCCTGGTCTATTTAATGCCCCATTTTCCTCATTCTTATACTTTTTACTGGTGATTTCATTATTTAAAATGATGATGCTCTATGCCCCTATGAGAAAGGAGGTTGTGATGGGCATTATGGAGAAAATATGTATTTTAGATAAGCTTTGCTCAGGCATGAATTATAGTGTTGTTGGCTGTGATTTAACGCTAACAAATCAACAATATATATTACATAAGGCGTCTTTAAGCAGAAACGCATGTAAAATAAGGTTATATATTAAAAACAAGCTGATGGAAACACTGTGATTGGAAGCTCACAGTAACCTACCCCTGTATTTTCTCAAAGAGCGATGGTTCAGTACTTGCTGGCGGCCACTTTATAGAATATAACTGCTGTGAATACTGAGAGTGGTTTGTACATACACATGTATAAGCTGTATAATTCTAAAAATAGCTTTGAGCCACACTCATTCTTAGATCATACCAAAACTGGACAAGGAATGAAGGGGTCCCCAAGCACTTAAATTATTCCCATAGCTTATGTTCAGTTCATTGTCACATACAGTTAAGAAAGTCAAAGGTTTGGGTTTGACCCTGGTCCATGTCCACCAGAAGCCCTCTTGAGAATGTGGGCCACTCATCTAATGACCACACCACCTGCATTTATCTGGCTGTTCTCATTTCAAATATGATGCCCTTGGATCAAAGACATTTCCCTAGTTTGGGTTTTGGAAAGCGTACTATGGCCATCGGCCACATGGTGGAGCCAGTGGGCATATGCGTGGTAGTGCAGAGTCTTCCAGGAGCTCCAGGTAATAAGGGAATTCAAATCTGGAGACCTATATTTATTAAACCAACATATATATTCATTAGAAGGGTTTATACAGAAAGAGATCCAGAAGGATATATACATCCAAATGTTAATCATAGTTGGTTCTGGGTGGAAGCATTTTACATGATTGATTTTTCCTCCTTCTGCCTATCTGTATTTTTCCTGAGGTTTGTGCACCGATCATGCTTCCCTACAAAAAAATAAAAAAAAAAAAGGAAGAAAAGAAAAATCCAGTGCCAGTAAAAATGTAATTAGTGGGATCAAAGGAGATTTTTATGACCTTATTTTGCTGCTAACTCTATTTTCTGGCTTATTACAATGATTATTTATAATTGTAGTTTAAAAATATTTAGATGGTGTTATCACCATGATTGTTCAGAACTTTGTTTCTCTTGCCATCCAGGGTGGAGATGGTTTAGATCATGCACAGACTAACAATTACTGGGCTGTTGCTAGTTGCTAGGCACAATGCATTTTCCATGCATCATATTGTTTAATCCTCTCAATGAACCTTTCCAGATACTGTTAGCTCCATTTTGCAGATAAGGAAACTGAGGCTCAGCGATGTTGAATAACTGGTGAAGGTCAGCAGCAGAACCAGAATCACACCCAGTTCCATCTGGCTCTAAAATCCACGCCACCAGTGTGTATTCCCTTACTCCTCCACTCTCCATGATCTCACCTATTTTCTGGCCGGTCCTCACCCCTCCCCACGGGCCTCCATCCCAGCAGCCAGAGCGAGCTCACCTCACTGTTGCTGTAGCGAGCGAGTTCGGAGATAAAGCGGATGTGGTCATCCCGGATCTGAACCATTTGCTCGCAGATATTGTACTGGGGGCTGATGCTGCTCTGGGTGCACGTCCACCTGGGCAGAAAATCAGGGGGGTCAGAGTGGGTCCTGGCCTTACGCACCTGGGTGGGGCAGGCTCCTTCCATTCACTAGTTGCTCCCGGTGCTTGGCCAACGTGGCTGGCTCCCCTGGGTAGACCAAGAGGTGTCCCAGCTACCAGCAAGAGTGCCTGCTAAATCCCACTGTGGGGACTGCAGGCTGAACGGAACAGCCTTTTCTCCTCCTGCTTGGGGCTGGCCTCCTCTAAGACCCAATCTCAGGCTTTTCCAGATAATGGGTGTCCACAGTACTTACCAGTCACATGAGCAGGGAGGGACTTGCAGCCTCTCTAGGGTTGCAAAGGACTGGAATCCAAGCAAAGAAAAAGCAAGGTGGGCGACCTCCCAAACCTATCTACCGACTCCGGCAGCACTACGTCCTGTGGTTGAAGCTGTCGTCGGAGGGGGCCTATGGGCAGGACTGGGGAAAACTAAAGGGATTGTGCCTCTTTTTCAACAGCGAGCTGGCAACACCGAAGCTCTCTATGGAGAGGAAAACCACAGCCATTCTGAAAGGCACTGGTCTCTCTTTCTCATCTTCTCCCCCTTCCTCTCTTCTTTCTCCTCAACTCTTTCCTCAACTTTTTTGGAAGAGACCTTTGGGACAACATCCTAAATTGGGGAGGAAATGAATGAATAAGAATCTTCACTCCCCTTCCCCAAGAGAAAAAAAGACAACCCCGTTCACTGTCCTCTGCCATCCGGTGCCGGGTGACCCAGTGGATAGATTAAGCATGGACACCAAACAAAGCAGATATGCATTGTAGAGAGAATTCACTGTTTCAAAAGGAGCTCTGAAAGGGCGCTCCAGAGAATACTCAGAATGGTGACAGACTTCCTCATGCCTATACTTTGGCATGACTTTTCTTTTGAGGTCCTTGTGTAGGGATGGGGACACCATCACTTGAACCTCTGACCACCATCCTGGTCACATCACCACTCCCAACCAACCTCAGGTGGCCGAGAATTCATGCAAGGAAAAGTGAAGAAATGAGTTCAGCATTCTGGACTCCACGCTTTTCCTGAAAGACCTCCTCATACACCAGCAGCCACTGGGTTATGAAAAGACTTAAACCAGCTTTCCCTGGCAAGACTCACCTGCTGTGGCTCAAAGCTGGTTGAGTTCAAGGACACTCCATTTACATAATTTTAAGGCCCTAATACCCTCACCCTGACTAAAGGATGGTCGGCCCCCCTCTGTATGGAAATGCAGGCAGAAACCTCCTTAACAAGGCCAGAGATCAAAGGGGTGGCCAAGACTGTAGCCGAATGTCCCCCAACTTCCATGAGGCGCTGACACCCCAGATCTTAGCTCAGATCACCTAGAGTGGTGGCTTATAAAACAACATAAGGAGAGGTCGTCAACCCGCTTCACAGTTGGAACAGTTGGAACAATACCCTCCACGGCATACTTACTGCATGGACACAAAACCTGAAGAGAGAACCAGTGTGATGAAGAACAAGGCCATCTCGCTCTGCCTGACCACTGAGGGCCGGTCACTCCTCCCCCTTCGCAGGGGAAGGAGGACTCCTGCCGTTCCCCTGCAGGCGGCGTGGGCGACCACGGGAACAGAGAAGGGGCGGGGCTGTGCTCTGAGCACTTTTGAACCCTGGCAGCAAAGGGCAGGTGCAAAAGGGCTCAGAGCACCATCCACTGCTCCCTTCTGCCAGGCACCAGTGATTGGACAGAATCCACCTGCCCAGTGCTCTGGGGAGGGGGGAGGGGCTGAAGTGGCCCCTCAGCCCCCTGCCCGGGCTGGGCATCCTCGGGGGAGCCGAGAGACATTACGGCAGGCACTCACTTGGACTTGTTCTCTTCATAGTGAGCACTGGTCTTAATGTATCTGGCCAGCTCTATCTGCATGTCGCCGAAAAGGGGCACCACCTGCAGCTGCTGCAAAGGAAGCAAATACAGTGCGTGAGACACGGAGGGAGGGGCCAGGTGGCTGCCTTCTGCCGGGGGAGACAGGCCTCCGTGTGTGCCTCTGGGATGACCCCCAGTTTCTGCTTCCAAAGATGCTACTATGTGACCCTGGAACCACAAAGAGCCCCAGCCAGAGTAGAGGTCCTCCCGTGCCTCCAACCATCCCTATGTTCCAGCAACTGAGCCCAGAGAGGCAAAGTGACTTGTCCAAGGTTACCCAGCAGGCAGAACAGATAAAGAATGAGGACCAGATGGTCTGCCTCCCAGGGCAGGGTCTTTTCTGTTCTAATTTTCCTTGGATTCGAGGATCCTCGCTGCTTTGAGCTCTGCGAGTGGGTGCCCAGATGCCACTGGCTGGGCATGACCTTCTTGAGAAACTCCACAATGTGAAGTGATTGAAATCTTTAACACCTAACACCAGAGGGCAGACGATTCCCATCCGAAGACCAGGAGTAATGGCGGGGAGGCTGGTATTTTCTCTCTGCTTCTTAGGCACTAGGCACTGTGCCAAGCCCTTCAAAACCAGAGGGTTTCTAGGGCAGTGAAACTATTCTGTATGATACCATAATGGTGGATATAGATCATTATACATTTGTCAAAACTTACAGAATGCACAATGCCAAGAGTTACCCCTACTGCAAACCACGGACTTCGGGTGATAATGATGTGCCAACAATGTAGGTTCATGGACTATAACAAATGTACCCCTCTGTTGGGGAGTTTTGACAATGGGAGAGGTTGTGTATGAGTGGAGGCAGGGGGTATAAGGGAAATCCCTGTTCATTCTGCTCAATTTTGCTGTGAACCTAAAACTGCTCTAAAAAATAGTCTATTAAGCAAATCAGAAAACAGTATTTCGATCCACAGAATAACTGGGTGAGGTCAGTACTAGTATCATTCCCATTTAACAGATGGACAAACTGAAGCTTTGACAGCTGAAGTGATTTGTTTTCACAAAGACCGGCTAGAAGCTAAGGAGCTGGGATTATAACCCAGGGCTTTGACTGACCTATGTGATCCCACTGAATCCTCAAGGGAACCCTATAAACTACATACCCTTAGCATTGCTGTTTTTCGAGCCAGGGAACTCAGTTTCAGAGAAGTTCTGTGACTTTCCCAAAGTCACCCAGCTATGAAATGGCAGAGCGAGGCTAAAACCCAGGTCTCTGTGAGGCGAGATTGTGGTCTTCCACTCCACCCCCATGTCATTCATGCGGATTTAAGGCAGAGGCAGATTTGGCCAGTTCTCCCAAGATGAGCTCTGTTTTCACTTTGGGCAGCTCCAGAGAAAAGTGCAAGTTTCAGCTTCAAAAAGAAGCCAAGCCAAGCCAAGCCACAGGATGACTTTTGGTGACTTATTTCCCTCTTAACCTCCAAGAGTCGGTGGGACCCAGGCTTGGCCACACCTTTGAGGGATTCCACTTTTAACTGAAGCCTGGTTTTCCCATGTCTGACCTCAGAGGCTCCACTCCAGGCCTGAAATGCCTGATGCTAGAATACACTGACAACATGGAATTCACTTCCAAAGGAGAAAACCCCTTTGCGAAAACCTCAAAGGCAAACCACAAGGTTTTATTGTTAAAGATTTAGGGCAGAAGATCAAATCTCTGAGGCACTGGGATGGACTGAGTGTGGGCTGGATGCTGATGAGGCATTCTGCCCAGAGGCAGGGAGAGTGAGGGGCCTCTGGTGGGCCAGGAGAGGCTGTGAGTTTGCGAATGTGAATCAATGTAAAATCCAGTCTTTATTCCTCCTGCTTCTGTGGGCTCTGATATATACTGAAAATTAAAGTGGGCTCTGTCTTCTGGGACGCACCTCTTTCTTTAGATGGCAAGGGATTTCAGAAAAGGGAAAAAGCAGTATGCGGCAAGAATCACAAGGCCTCCCAGCCAAATCCTGAGACTCAGGCACATGCCTTCTATAGTGCAGATTCCTCTACCCAGGGCAGCTAGAGGCCCTATCATTCTATTCTCCTCTTGGGGTCTTTAAAGCTACAGTTCAATCAACAAGCCCCACTACTTGCTGGTTAATTTCATTCCTTTCCCCAGAGAGACCACCCCTTGGGCCCCTGCCCAACCCCAGCCCCAGGTGCTGACCTTAAAGAACTTATCGATTTTGCTGAGGTTGATCCTCTTCTTGGCATCCAGTTTGTAAATGTTACTGACATTTCCATCCATCAGGTAGAGACCAAAACCCATTACCTAGAGTGAGAAGAGGCAGAGCCAGAAGCCAGTCACATCCACTGGAAAAGTTTCAAAAAACCAAAAAAAGCAGATCTGTGTATGTGTACACATCCCCTGCAGTGATACATTCTGTGAAAAAAACCCATGTGTCTTCAAAAAAAAAAAAAAGGCGGCGGGGGGGGGACCCATAGGTCTAATTTCAACCAGAAATTTGATTTCTGTGAAGAAATGCAGAGGACTCTTTCATATATTATCATGGCGGCCACTTCTTGAGTCCTCCCCCATGGGCCAGAGTCTGTGCTTTGGGATTTAGCAGGCGTTATCCTTCATTCTCACAACAATCTTATGAGTCAAGTTCTACACAATAACCTTATTCTACACACGAGGAATTGGAGACACAGAGAGGTTAGACAGCTTGCCAAGGTCACACAGCTAGTAAGCTGCAGAGACAGGATCTGAACTGGGATATGACAACAACATGTATGCACTTAGATCCTTCTTGAGAGGAAGGACTGAGTGGTGCTGTGCTGCATCCCTGGGCCCCAGCACACCGCAGGCACTTGATGAATACTCACTAGATGGTAAATGAATGTCAAACTATTCACCCCTTTCTCCAAGGAAACTACAACAAAGATTCCCAAGGAATCTCATTGGTGACTTCATTAACAAAAAGACCACATTTTTGCCTGACAATGCCCTATAAGCAGGTTGACAGGCCGATTCTTGATATTCCAGTCCATACAATAGTTTCCTGAATGCTGGATTATTTTGCTCTTTTTGTCAAATGTACAGCAAGCCTGAGGAGGCCTGAATAGCTAGGTTGAAAGCAGCTTCCCTCAGCACACAGTTGCTATGTAACTGGGGATAAGTCACGTCTGACACCTAAGGGAGTGGACTAGAGGATGGGCGTTTGCATTTTGCAGTTCTGCAGGGTGTGCACCAGACTTTTCCATTTAAGGTAGAAGGCGCTCCCTGGTGGCACCTGAGTTCACTAACAAACTGCAGAGACAAGCAGTGCAGGAGTCCAGGTTGAGGAGGCAGAGAATTGAGAGGGAAGAAGGTTGGGAAGCTGAGACGTGGGAGGATTAAAAGCAGGCAAGAGAAAAGAAGGGCCTGAGAATCTGATGGCAGCATCTAAGGATGCCTGGTGGACAGGGGTTTAGCAACCTACTTAGTGGAAGCAGCAATTCTGAGCAGAGCTATGGTAATTGCCCAGGCATAGCACTGGGGGTGAGAGAGACTGCTGAGCTCTAGGTGACTTCTCTGGATTTCTGACTGTGCAGAGCAAGCCAGAGTGAACAAGACACAAAGCCACACTGTCCTGCAAGCTTCTTCGAGATGTTATGCAAATGTTAAGAAGGGAACACCAACAGGGCTGGGATTCTTGAAATAGCAGGAGGCAACAGGGAGAGGAAAAAAAAGTCAAACCAGCATCGGAATTTTGAAAGGGGAGGTTCTGGGGAAGAACGAATCAAAAGGGGTGATGCATATGAATATGGAGAAGATTATTCATTTCCGGGCTATTGCTGTCAGAGGGAAATTAGAAATAATCTAAGCAGCTAATGATAGAATAATGGGTAAAGAAATTAAAGCTCATCCATAAGACATTATTTAAGGACTGCATAATCTTCCAAATGCATTTAATGAAGTGGGATAAAAATTACACGTGCACAAAATTTATGTAAATTGCATATGTAAATTACATACATATGAAAATATATCAGCACAGAAAAAACGAGAAAGATATACATCAAAATGCTAAAAGTGTTCTCTCTGGATGGAAAGATTGTAAGAGATTCAATTTTTTAATGCTTTTCTGTATAGTCCAGATTTTCTACAATAATAAAAATTACTTGGCAATTAAAAAATGAAACTTGTAAACTGATGAAACAAATGTGACCCATTTGGCAAAATATAGCAAAAGTTTGAAGATTCTGCCTTCCCCTTGAGTTGGCACTTTTTTCCTCCAGGATGTCTGGCTTAACAAGAGTATGGACACGAAGGTGTTCTACAGAGTTTCAATGCAGTTAGCAAACAAATATCCAACCACAGGGGATCTGTTAAATAACAATGTCCCCATACAACGGAATACTTGGCAGCCATTAAAAATCACATTGTACTGGCCTCCCTGGTGGCACAGTGGTTGAGAGTTCTCCTGCCGATGCAGGGGACAGACACAGGTTCGTGCCCTGGTCCGAGAAGATCCCACATGCCGTGGAGCGGCTGGGCCCATGAGCCATGGCCGCTGAGTCTGCACGTCCAGAGCCTGTGCTCCGCAACGGGAGAGGCCACAGCAGTGAGAGGCCCAAGTACCGAAAAAAAAAAAAAAGAGAGATTAAAATCAAATAGGGACTGAAGACACCTTTTTTGGTACTAGTAGTGCTGCTTCAGAAAGAGAAAGCATCAGAGAAAAGGTGACAGTGAGTGAGCTCCCCATAGTGTTCGAGTCATCTTAATTTTTTTTTAAATAAATTTATTTATAAAAAAAAAAAAAAAAAAAAAAAAAAATCACATTGTAGAAAGAGCCTTAATGATGTCTGGAAAGGTGTATATGACATATTCAAGGCAAATAACAGGTTACAAAACACTATATGCAGTAAGATCTGTATCAATGCTTAAGTAAGAAGAAAGAAATATTAAAAACAAATGATTTTAAATAAGAAGGAGGTGAGAGGGCAAGCCCAGGCCCTGAGGTGTGTGACCGAGGGAGCTGTACCTTGAGGAGCATGTGCTTCTCACTGGGGGTCAGATACATCTTGTTCTCGTAGTAATCCACACAGATGTTGACAATGTCGGCCAGCAGCTCCTCATAGCCTGGGATCACTTCCAGTTGCTGGTGGAGACACTAAACAGCAGTGCCCCCCACCCTGGTTAGCCACTGTCCTGCATCCTCACACACATACACCACCCAGGATGGGTCACCGCTGGGCCCTGGGACAGTGCCCGGTCTCACTGACCACCCCAGGTGGAGGGGAGCCTGCAGCCTCTCCTCAACGTGCCCACAGTGGTTGGTCAGAGCTCCTGCACATCCCCCATGGCAGGGACCCGCTCCCCTTGGGGCCTTCCATTGTATTTCCTGGCAGTTCTGATGGTTAGAAAGTGCTTTATTGGGCTGAGCTGAAAGCAGTTCAGCTAGGCCCGTGGTAATCTCAGCTTAGTTTTGACAGTGTGGACTGAGCCCAAGACGTCTTCTCAGATGATGGTGGGAAGACCAAGCCCAGCAGAGGAGAGGTGGGCCAGCAGGTGTCTCCCTCCTGGCAGGACACAGCAGTACAAAGACATTTCCCGCACAAGAAGGCCTGAGGTCTCCACCCCAGGCCCCTCGTCTCCAAAGAGACACACTGGCCCATGGCAGGGCTCAGGTGTGTGGCTGGGTCCCGTCCCCGGGAAAAAACCTGAAGCCTCAACACTGAGGAGCCTTCTGCAGGTTACACAGAGCAGCGAAGGCCCAGTGAAGCCCTGAGAAAGATTTTAGCCCGGAAACCCTTTGAAGACTGAAGGCCCCTCTCAAGTTTAGGCCTGGGTCCTGCTGACATTCC